ACATCTTGCCAATGGAATAAGTGGTGGTTCTAGATCAAATGTACTCATGGGACAGGAGGAGGCCAGTGTGTTTTCATGGGGGCACAGAAAAGCATGAAATAAAAAAAACAGGGCCAGGGATTCAAATATATTAAGAAAGCAACATGAAGTGAAATTTTTATTCAATAGGTTTAATTAAAATTCTATGCCTTAATAGGTCAATATGCATTCATAATTTAGGAATTTAACATATTTTTGACATAATTTAAGGTAAAATTACAGTTTTCTATAAAATCTGAATTAGAACTCAAGAAAAACTAAAAATTTGAGCTGTAAAAATTTGAGCAAATTGTTTTGAAAAAAACATTTAGCAGAAAAAAACTGAGATCCTATCTCAATACCAGTGAAGTTATCGCCTTATTGCTTTTAAATAATTAGAAAAAACTGAATTTGTAAAGAAAAAAATTAAATAGATTCAAAGGACCTATCACTGAGGGAGGTCTAGAAGCATACCCCTCCATTTGTGAGGGGTATGCAAGCGATCAAAAACGGTAACCTGGCCTATAAAGGCTTAAGAGTCTTTCTGTCTGTCTTTGTATAAGATAACTTTTTTTTTTTTGTTATTTAAATTTTATTGAGTGCATTTGAAAATTGTTATACATCCATCACATTCATTTCCTATGTAGACTTAACATAGCCAAATTAAATTCACAGCAGTCCATGCTTGAGCAAGGTGACAATTATACTCTTTGTAATTTTAAAATTTAATGCTAACTCACATTCCTTCATGATGAAAAGAAAAAATCCCTTCACCTCTTCCTTATTTGTAGATATATATACTAATTCCCACTCCCATAGAAATACACATACATTTTTCTTTGAAAAAACAAACATAAAAAAAAGAGAAAAAAAAAAAAACCCAACAAAAAGAGACCAAAACTATAGAACGCTATAAATGTGTGGCGCAAAGAGGTTCTCTAATCAAGTCTGATCTCACTGGTGATACAAATTTCACCCAGTTTTCCCAATGTTTCTTAAACTTGCCAGATATTAATCTAAAAGAAAAAGTTAGCCTTTCCATTATATCAATATTATGCATTACTTCAACCCAATCTTCCCTTGTTGGAGCCTCTGTTTTCAGCCAATTCCTTTTATAGCTTTCTTGCTGGCTACCAACATGATCCTGAAAATATATTTATCCTCTGAGGTTGTCAGATTATCTTCCCATGTATAAAGTGTCGAATGTTAGAGGAAGTTTCACTTTCAGGATTTTATCCATACATTCCTTAAAGTCCTGCCAGTATGTAGCAATACTAACACAACCCCTCTTTGTTTAAGATAACTTTATGGACGGATTTTAATGCCATTTTATCAGAGGTCTCCCTCGTGCCAATGAACACTCCATTAAATGTTGCTGATCTGTATCCAAATCAGAATCTGGATGCAGGGTTCTGTAACATTGTGAGATGAATGTTTGGCAGAACAAGCCGTTCCTCACTAAAGAGGGTGGCAGTGACACCTGTCCAGGGATGTATGGGTAAAGTTTATTTAAATTTGTCCACAGTTTTAGTTCTTGTACATGGGTAATCTCCTTCTTCCACATTTTCACCACACCCAAAATAGTAATTAAAGAGGTAAATATCTGTAATCTTTATAAGAATAATGTAGTATAACTTACAGTGGAGCAGTTTGTTGCACTGGTGCAGTACCAGTTTGAATTCCTAGCCTGGGATCTTTCTGCATGGAGTTTGCATGTTCTCCCCGTGCATGCATGGATCCTTTCTGGGTACTCTGGCTTCCTCCCACAGTCATAAAAAAAAACATGACAATTAGGTAATTGCCATCAGAATAGAATAGAATAGAATAGAATAGAATAGAATAGAATAGAATAGAATAGAATAGAATAGAAATTACCTTTATTGTCCCACAATGGGGAAATTCTGGTGTTTACAGAAGCAAAATGATTAGAGAAAAATGGTCAAACAAATATGGACCTTAGAAAAGTTTATAAGAATAACATATTACTGAAGATTTAAAAAATTAACAAATAAACTACTGTACTGTTAAGTGTTTTAACAATATGAATACTGTGCACCTGGATAATAAATAACCAATGTACAGTTATGGACATTTTTACAGTAAAGTATATTTAAAATAGTGGCAACATCAGAGA